TGCCTGCCCTTCACCCTGCTTATGCGCTCTTGCTCGCTCTCTTGACAGGTAAACTTAAAAAAACACATAAAAGTCAGGGCACCTGGGTAGCTCAGTCAGGTAAGCCTCTGACTCTTGATTTTGGCTCAGGTCATGATCTCAGGGTTCTGAGATTGTGCCCTGCATGGGGCTCAGTGCTGGGTGTGGAGCCTGCTTCAGTCTCTCTCTCCCCTTCCCACTGCCCCTCTGCCTCTCTAAAACACACACACACACACATTTGAAAGTAAATTTATAAATAAAGATTGATAAGTCCAACAATATTAAAATTAAAACCTAAAAAATAAAAAACATGAAAAGACCAGCCACATACTGGAGAAGATCCTTACATTACAGCTAACAAAAAATTTGTAGTCAGAATATTTTTAAGTGTCTACGAGTCAAGAAGGAAAAACAACTCCATAGATAAATGGACAAAAGATAAATTGGCAATTCAGAGCAAGAAACATGGTCAATAAATTGGAAGATGCTCTCTTTGATAAGTAATCAGAAATGCATTTGTTCTTTTTTTTGTTGTTTTTTTATAATTTTTTATTTTTTTATTAAGATATAATGTATTATTAGTCCCAGGAAGGCATTTGTTTTTTATTTATTTTTTTTAAACATTTTATTTATTTATTTGACAGAGATCACAAGTAGGCAGAGAGGCAGGCAGAGAGAGAGGAGGAAGCAGGCTCTCCACGGAGCAGAGAGCCCGACATGGGGCTCGATCCCAGGACCCTGGGATCATGACCCGAGCCGAAGGCAGAGGCCTTAACCCACTGAGCCACCCAGGCGCCCCACATTTGTTTTTTAAAGGTAAAGAAAACTCCACTTTTACAATGCGATCCCCTTTGGTAAAAAGCAAAAAATAATGTGTTTATGAATATATATTTATACAAAACTGTGTTTATTCTTCCTCTAATACCTGTAAGGTTTACTTTAAAAAATTATATTGAGATTTCTTTTTAATAAAAACATGTTAAGAATCTTAGGAGCAAAAACCCAAGATTTCTTACTGATAAAAGAGAATACTCTTTTTAACCCAAAATGAGAGTTTGATAGAAAAATTTTCTTTATGCTCTGGTATATTTATCAAGTATACCTGTAGATTAACATTTCAAGATATTTACTTTGTCTACATTTCATTGCTGAGGGCTCCCTTTGGATTAAGGTAATCATAATATTTCTGTGCTTTTCTGTCTTTACTCTGTTAGGCATTTAAATGTTTTTCTGCAGTTTTCTTTAGATCATGTTTAAAAGGTATTTAAAGATATCTGGAGAGTTATAAATATTATGTCTTATTTCCTGTTTAGTCCTAAGCTTCCAGACAAGGTTAAAGAAAGTACGAATGTATTTTACACATAAAGGGGTTAAATGCTTTGTTGTACACTGTGCCAGGGTAGTGTTTGTTTTGTTTGCTTATTTTTGGTAGTCAAATTGCAGAGGTCCTGAACTCTCCCATGAATTGAGTTCTGTGTATCTTCAAAGCTCCTGAATTGATTCTGATCCTTGCCTGATCCTACCCTGAAGACTTCAGTGAAACTCTGATCACGAGATGTGGAGAACTGGATCCCTGAAATGTGCTTTCAGTTACTTCTATTTTCCAGTGTCCTATGGTGGTTTTTTTTCCATAAAGTAGCATTTATATATAGTTTTGATTGCTCCTTCAGATCACTCTTAAATCCTAATGAGAAACTCTACCGCTGGGCTTGATTTTCTTAGGCCTCTAAGTATTCAGTATTTCCTTCCTAAAGAGTTTTATATCTGAAGTTGTGAAAATGCAACATACTGATGCTCTTGACAATGCTCCCTAAAGGCCGTAAGGGGGAATGTTACTGGAGAGACTCGTTACTTGGTAAGTTGGCCACACAGAGGAACATGAGTATACAAGAAAAATGTAATAAGAAACTTACATACATGCAACTTTTGGGTAGGAATTAAAATAATTTTATACTGTTCTTGAAATGTTTCATCATTATTATGTCTTGGGGTATAATTTTAACGAAGAGAAGAGTGGTATCTTCTTTTTTTTTAATTCATTTTTTTATTATTATTTTTATTCATTTATTCATCTCAAAGAGAGCATGAGCAGGGGGAGGCACAGAAGCAGACTCCTTGCTGACCTGGGAGCCCTACATGGGGCTCAGTTCCAGGACCTGGAGACCATGACCTGAGCTGAAGGCAGACACTTAACCATCTGAGCCACCCAGGCGCCCCAGAAAGAGTGATATCTTATTGTTACTTGCTAGGATACATCGGACTATAGTCTCACTACATTGTCCTTCATCCCCTCCCCTTTTTTCCCTTTGATATATTTGCATGAAGCAAAAAAAAAAGTATAAAAATACTTCTAAAAATCAAATCATTCAATAGCTCAAGGAAAAAAGCTATTAGAATAAAAAGGGCTGGTTTATAAATTATAGCAGAGTTCATATTCACAGGTAAAGATTACCCCTTTGTGAACAGTTGAGAAAAATACTTTACAGTCCCTGTTTGATTTTCTTCTTATAAGTGGCATAAAATAGAACTGCAGTTATCTGGGTTTTGTTTTGACTTGTTTTAGGAGATTAAGTTTTGTTTCAGGAAAAATACTTTTGTTTTTCTATGTAGAGAAAGCAAGATTACGTATAGTGGCTGAGTTAATCCCATTTCCTGTTACCTTATGTGAAAACGGTTTCTGAACTTCCGAAGACCGTTATGTTCTATTGAAAGGCCCATTCCGAGCTGCCAGCTCCTTGGGAGATTGTTCGTGGCCCATTTGCTCCAGGAATCAGGTGGTTCTTATGCAGAGACGCACGTGTCTTTCCGGTGGTTGTGTCCTTTTGTTCTTCTTTTCATGAATGACCTGACAGGTTGGCACAGGATAAATTTTAAGTTCAGGGGCAAAGCCATCAGTTGGAAGAACTAACCCTTGTTTTTCTATGCAATAGATTGTAAAATGCCTCCACCGTTATATGCAGTGTCTTTTTTCGATCACGTGCTGAAGTACGGCGGAGAGGTGATGTTTTCATTTGGGGTTTGACACTGCTGTACTCCAAGCTCTGGTTTCACAGCTTTGCCTTGGGTTTTCATAGGTTTCATTTTCCATATGTGCTGTATTTTGTGCTTGCCTTTGAAAATATAATCCAGGATTCTACGTTAACATTTCTCCATTGTTATTTCAATAAACAATGAAAATTTTTCTGCAGAATATTTTGGGATTCATAATGTGCAAGGTAGGATCCTTGCTTGCTGTCACAAGGGTACATTATATAACAGGGTCGATGACCTCCTCAGATAACTAAACTACAGCACAAGGTAGTGTATGAGTATTGGGCATTTCACTGAGTTCTGTTGGTAATTTCAAAGATCAGTAACTATCAGAGAAAACTGGTCTATTGGATGGGTAGGATTTAAACAGTCCGGGAGTTGGGAAGCTCACCATACCAAGCAAAGAGAGGAATGTAAACATAGCTGTGGCTATGGCAGAGAAAGGCGTGGGGGTGTGTTGGAGAAAGTCTGGAGTGGTGGTGTGTGTGTTGGGAGGAATACCACATGGGAGCCTTGAGTGTTTGGACAAGGAATGTAGATTTTTGTTGATAGTAATTTCAGGGGCTACTGCTTTTGAGCAAAGAAATGAGGAAAAGCAGTTTGTATATAGATGGGATTGTGGATAGATCTGTACAGGAGTTTTTAGAGTCTAGCTAACTGGTTCGTGTCACCGAGAAGAGGGAGGTAACAGGTGTTAGCAGAATTGGCAAATAACTGTCAAAGTTTTAGGGTGCGGGGCTAGAGGTACCATTAAGAGAATTATGGTACCTTTACCTGCAGTTGGAAATCTCAAGAGTTATTTGAAGTCAGGTTTTAGAAATCTTGCGTGTTGCGGTTATAACGTAGAAGTGGAACCAGGTGAATATTTGGATATCCTTTCCATATTGAAGCCTTGGGTGATAGTGTTCACTGTGATTACACAAACTTTGAGCACAAAGAAAGATGATGCTGAATGCACATCACACTGTATTCGGTAACTTACGGAGTAGGGGGGTACTTCATTTTTTAAAACATGTTTTTGGTTTTCTGAATGTGACTTTTTGTAATTTGAAGAACAGTGAAAAGGGTTGACTATTTGTAGTAAGAGATACAGTAGTGTACAGGAAAAAGAACTTGGATGATGTTTCTGAAATCTGTAGGAAAGTATATAGAGGGGGAAAAAAAATCCCTGAATTTGGATCCATGGAAGAATGCGCAGATTTTAAGGAGCAGGAAATATTAATGCCAGCAGGAGTTCACTATTTGAGAAAAAGAAGGCATAAGGTGTAAGTATAAAAGTTAAACTTGATTTCCTAAAGAACATTTTTAAGAAAAAGAAGTCTAAGATTAGGAACAAATATTTGCATTTTGCTTATTTTTGATGTTTTTTAAAGTAATGGAGTTGGTTTAAATATTCTTAGTACTTATGAAATTATAAAGGACATGTTCTTTCAAGATTTAAAAACTTGTTTAAATGTAGATATCACTAACTAATCTTGGAGATAATTTAGTAATTTGGTTTCTGGATATATAGTACTACTTGAATTTGGAACTTAAAAGATAAGGAATAAGATTTTTAAAAATAGTATGATCTGTTCTTTTGAACTCTGACTTTACAAAACCTTTCTTGGCCTTTAAGCCTAAATTGCCTTGAGACTTAATGTTCATAACTTTGAAAATATTGTATTTCCTAATTAAGGGAAAGGGGGTAACTGTTAGTACAAAAACATTCTTTAAAATGTTGCATTCAAGGGGCACCTGGGTGGCTCAGTCAGTTAAGGGTCTGCCTTTGGCTCAGGTCATGATCTTGGAGTCCTGGGATTGAGCCCTGCATAAGGCTTCCTGCCCAACGGGGAGTCCACTTCTCTTTCTCCCTCCGCCCTTTCCCCCGCTTGTGCTTGCACGCGTGCTCTCACAAATAAAATCTTTAAAAAAGTTGCACTCAAATGACCTTTCTTTCCTTTTTTTTTTAGGTATATTTGTATCCAGTATTGTTCTGATCTTGTCACAACGATCACTTTTCAAGTTTTACATGTATAGTTCAGCCTTTCTCTTAGCTGCAACTTCAGTGTTGGTAAATTATTATGCTTCTTTGCACATTGACTTCTATGGTGCCTACAACACATCAGCTTTCGGAATTGAGCTGCTTCCTCGAAAAGGGCCCTCGCTGTGGATGGCACTCATCGTTCTACAGCTGACCTTAGGGATTGGATACATCACACTACTACAGATTCATTCCATCTACTCACAGTTAATTATTTTGGATCTCTTGGTTCCTGTAATAGGCTTAATCACAGAGCTGCCATTACACATCCGAGAGACTTTAGTTTTTACTTCTTCTTTGATTCTCACATTAAACACAGTGCTCGTCTTGGCAGTGAAACTTAAGTGGTTTTATTATTCTACACGGTATGTTTATCTTTTAGTGAGGCACATGTATCGAATTTACGGATTACAGTTATTAATGGAGGACACGTGGAAGAGGATTCGTTTCCCAGATATCCTGAGAGTCTTTTGGCTAACAAGAATTACAGCTCAGGCTACAGTGTTGATGTACATTTTAAGGATGGCAAATGAAACGGATTCCTTCTTTATTTCTTGGGATGATTTCTGGGACCTCATTTGCAATCTTATAATTAGTGGATGTGATTCTACACTAACTGTACTGGGCATGAGTGCTGTAATTTCCTCAATAGCCCATTACTTGGGCCTTGGAATATTGGCCTTTATTGGATCAACTGAAGAAGATGACCGGCGGCTTGGCTTTGTAGCGCCTGTTCTCTTTTTTATTTTGGCTCTTCAGACTGGTTTAAGTGGGCTGAGACCAGAAGAGAGACTTATTCGCTTAAGTAGAAACATGTGCCTTTTATTGACTGCAGTCCTGCATTTCATCCACGGAATGACAGACCCTGTATTAATGTCTCTCAGTGCCTCTCATGTGTCCTCTTTCCGTAGACATTTTCCTGTGCTCTTTGTCTCTGCTTGCCTGTTTATTCTTCCTGTTTTACTCAGTTACGTTCTTTGGCATCACTATGCACTAAATACATGGTTGTTCGCAGTGACGGCCTTTTGCGTGGAACTCTGCTTAAAAGTAATCGTTTCTCTCACTGTGTATACATTATTCATGATTGATGGCTACTATAATGTCCTTTGGGAAAAGCTTGATGATTATGTCTACTATGTTCGTTCAACAGGCAATATTATTGAATTTATATTTGGAGTAGTAATGTTTGGAAATGGGGCTTACACTATGATGTTTGAGTCAGGAAGTAAAATTCGGGCTTGTATGATGTGTCTACATGCATATTTTAACATCTACTTACAAGCAAAAAATGGCTGGAAGACATTCATGAATCGCAGGACTGCTGTTAAGAAAATTAATTCACTTCCTGAAATAAAAGGGAGCCGCTTACAAGAGATAGACGATGTGTGTGCGATCTGCTATCATGAGTTCACAACATCTGCTCGCATCACACCGTGTAATCATTATTTCCACGCACTTTGCCTTCGGAAATGGCTGTACATCCAAGATACCTGTCCAATGTGCCATCAGAAAGTGTACATCGAAGATGATATTAAGGATAATTCAAATATCTCTAACAACAACGGATTTATTGCACCCAACGAAAATCCAGAGGAAGCTGTAAGAGAAGCTGCTGCCGAATCTGACAGGGAATTGAACGAAGAGGACAGTACAGACTGTGATGATGATGCTCAAAGAGAAAGAAATGGAGTGATTCAGCACACGGGCCCAGCAGCTGAAGAACTTAATGATGATACTGATTAAAATAGCATTTACTAATCATTGAGGTTATTTGTTTAAAATTCAGTTCATCCAAAATGGAGTAATACGCTTCACTTCAGTGTGTAACCAAGCACAAAAACAGTATCCATGTTCAATCTGTGAATGGTTTTCCGTTTACTGTGATGTGCTACTGTAAATATACCTCTTTAATTACTTCTGGTCTCTTTGGTGACCTATTTAAATTTGTGTACATTATTGTACATAGAATAAAATGTTTTCACGTTTTTATGACAAAATTTGAACAAATAGCTTTTTAATAGATGTAATAATACAGTGCGTCAACTGTGCCAAAGATTCCTCAATGAAAGCATATAAAAGTAACTCTGGACCGTAGTTTTTCTTTAAAATGGGTGGGAAAATGAAAATGCAGGTTAGAGGAAATCACATTAAGCCAAGGAAATAATTTGGACCAGAGGATAAAAGCTGTATGTAGAGTATTTTAAAACGAAAGGGAAAACAGGCTTCCAAAAGAGAGGCTTTTTTGAAATTTGAATGTAGTGGTTGAGCTGGGTTCAAAAGTCATGATTCAGAGACTGTGTAAGAGTTGAGAAACAGGCTTTTATCAACTAAACTTTGGTATAAAAACCAGAATGTGCTAACTGTTTAATTTTGATGTAAATAAAACCAGTATATTTGTTGGCCGTTCTGTTTACAGCGTTGACATAAAATTGTCCTTTCAGACTTTTGAAAAGATTACAAAATGAAATATTTGGGAGTTTTCATTGTTGTGAACTAAGACCTTAACGGATACTAAAATTCTGATCTGACTTGATGAATAAAAATGAGGGGAGGACAGTATGTAGTAATATGGAGTACCTCTTCAGACAACTTCCAGAGACTTCCTTTATTCAATCTTTCAGTAAGTTTTACCATGAAATTTTACATACATGATGGGAAATGGAAAGAACATACCAATTACATGTCAGGAAAAAATAATTTAATGGTGTTGTTATATAGTGTATTGGCTAATTCCAATGGATCCTGCTCTCTTACTGCTGACATTATCTCCAGTATTTGACTAAAAGAAAACAAAACAAAATGGTTAATTTCCAAGTATATGCTCAGTTTTAAAGGTATGCGTTTCCACATAAAGGAAACCACTGTTCTAGCACTTTTAACATAGTAAGTTTTACAGGTACAAGGTTTTTGGCACTATGAACAGAAAAGTTTAACTGTTATATTTAAAATAATTTGAGACAAATTTCTGGGGCAGCCTTGCATATAACTAGAACCAAGGTCCAGGTTCAAATAAATTTGAAAACCAGCCCCTATTATGTCAACCACAACTAACGGAACTAACCCAGTGAAGAGAGTTCTTTTAAACTGTGGGTCATTATGGATTCATTAATGGGTCATGATGAGCTTTCAGAAAATTGTAAGAAAAGGAAAAGTACGTTGCACTTAGTAAGGGAAGTACTGTTTCATTTCTGTTGGGGGTTTATATATGTACATGGGTGCTGAGTCATACGGTCTGCGGTATTGCGGGTACGGCAAAGTCTGAAAGCTACTGCTAAGAGATTTAGTTCCAGAAGCAGCAGGAATTTGCTGCAGCATGATCAGCACAATGACAGCAAAGTGAGAAGTTATTTATTTAGAACAGTGTATGGTTATTGGGGTGGGGGGAGGAGAGATGCTTTCTCTTCCTGTACTTACTCCCTGCAAGAGCGAGACTAACCCAGATGTCAGATCTTTCATTTTCTGTTCCTCGAATAATCAGTAGTACTGTTCTCTAGCAATACTATAGATAGGTTTTTATACATGAATTAGAAAGATCTGAAGTCCAAAGTGAACATTTAAGTATTCGTTAAGATTTTTCTCCCTGGTATCAGTTTCTTAAAAATGAACACATAAAGGAATTAGGGATTAACTGGAATCTTTTAATTATATAATTGTAATGCAACAGCCACACTTATTAATATAGACTAAATTTTTATCTGAGTCAAAATGTGCTAAAGCAAATACATTAGCATTTAAATGGACACTAAAGGCCCAGTTCTCTTAGTAAACTACAGAATTCTCTTAACTATTCAGCTGGAACTTACCTGCATAATACTGTGTGAAATCCGTATGATTCCTGCCACCCATCTCCCTTTCAGTCCTTTTTCTATGCTGATACGTTACAGCTTAAAAAAAAGAAAAAGAACTGCCCCTTCCCTGCTTAAAATCCTTTGTTGGGTCCTGATGAAATGTGCACTACTAAGGCTGGCATACAAGAAGCCCGCACCAGTCTGGCCTCACCCTGCCTTCCTACGCTTACACTCACCCATGCATCCTACTTTCCGCCACACTAAACTCATTGTTTCCCCCAGAGCAGCAAGCCCTTCTGCCAGTCTGCCTTTGCTCAGGGTGTCTGTCTTAGTCTGGCACAAGGCCCATTTGTACCCGATGACCAGGTGAAGTGTCACCTTAGTTAAGCTATTTCTCCTTAAGGCAGGCAGCTGCCGTCCTAGGGTCCTCGTCATACGTTCATACTTCTGTAACGCCACGAGCCTCTTGGATTATACTTTCTGCTCATTTGCTCCAGGAGGGCAGAGATCCCTGGCAGAAGGAACTGAGTCATCTGGTGGATGGATGCAGGGCAGGGAATGTCCTGATTCTTCCAGGCAGCCTCAGTAACTAACCTGGACCTTTCCTGACATGCGGGACCTCCACACTGTATTTTAAGGAACTTAAAAAGGGAGGAAAGATCTCTATAAAAATAATTAAAACATAAAATTGTTAATAGATGGGCTTGATGAAGATGACTTTGTAAGTAGGAATTGGTAATTAGCATTAGACTAGAGGCATGCGTGTTCTGAAATGAGATTTAAAAACGGTCAGTCAGTCTGGCTTTCCCGAGCTCCCACCGCCTCAGCTGTAGTCATGACTGCAGATGAGACTCGAGCTTTCTTGGATCTCACCAGTGTGCACTGGAAGACCCTTAGAATTTTGTTTTGCCAATGTCACTAGAGTCAAGAGCTGTATTGTCCTTAACATTAAGGCAGTAGAGAAAACTGACTTGGATACACTGTTGGCAAATACTTCCTCTGAGTGGCTACTAGAAAAATACCAGTTTCTTGTCTCTAGTGTCCTATTAAATCTCTATAAAGTATGATTCAGTAATAATTGTCTTCTGTCTTCTGACCGAATTTGCAACTACCTACATCTCATAAAAGGTACAAGTGATTCTTTACTAATCAGAACTTAAATAAATTCCTCAGCCTATGGGTTTTAAAACATTCAGCTTTAAAATCTTTGCCAACACTGGCATGTTAATATAAAGGACTATCTTTCCAGTATTATTTTTATAGAATAAATCTTCAGTTCTCTGCCTGCTGAATTTTAGAGCTGACTTACCTAATACTCTTTTCGGTTAAAACCTACTAAAAAAATGCATATGGAAGGAATTATTATAATCTGAAAGTAACTGTTCAATTGCCTGAAGTAGTAAACCACAAGAGACTGATAGAATAGCGATTTAAATGATCTGCTTATGCGAACAGAAACTGGATGATGCGTGCGTGACCATGGCAAGAACTCACCCTGTAAGTTACAAGCTCTACAGCTCAGCAACAGCCCCTCTCCGCGCACTATATATGTTATAATTCAAAACATGATGCTGAATTGCTGCTTGCCCCCCCCTTTTGGGTTAGAAAAAGGAAATCTTTCTATAACCTGACCTCCTTGTTGAGAGACTTCAATATATGTGTTAATAAAGTTTTTTCAGGTTGTCAAATTGTTTAAAATATACAAAAAGGTCTCCTGCTGAGAGTGCATTTGTATAACCATAAGGAAGCTGTGGGAGAATCCTTCCCCTTTCCTAAAAAATGACAAATGACCAAGATCACAAAGTTTTCACTCCTGTAGCAAAACCACTCGTAATGAACTGAGAGGTGCAGAGGATGGGGAGAGAGGAGCCTCGGCAGAGCAATCCAGTGCGGAGCCTTCCACATCGCTGCAGTAAATCAGTGGCTTTTGATCTTAACTTCATTCGGACGTCACCGACTTTACCTCAGTCCCTTGAGTTCATTTTGTAAATGGCATTTGGTGGTTGACTTGAATATTCTGAAGACCCGTGAAAACCAAATACTTACATTATATGGCAGGGTTCATTCCTGTCTTTTAAGCAGTGCCCATTTTCCCACTTCTTTTTGGTAGGAAATGAAGTTTTTATGTATTTTGATCCAGCATGTGTACTTTTCACTCCACACCAAGGTGCGTCTAGAGTTAAGCAAAGAAGTGTCTTAACGAGAGGCACCTGGGTGGCTCAGGGGTTAAGCCTCTGCTTTCGGCTCAGGTCATGATCTCAGGGTCCTGGGATCGAGCCCGCATCGCATCGGGCTCTCTGCTCAGTGGGAGCCTGCTTACCCCCCTTCTCTCTCTCTGCCTGCTTCTCTGCCTACTTGTGATCTCTGCCTGCCAAATAAATAAATAAAATCTTTAAAAAAAAAAAAAGTGTCTTAACGAGGTTTATCTTTGAAATCACTGGTCTCTTAATAAACATTATCAAACAAATATGTAAATTCTAAAATGTTTAAGTCATGATTCAGCTTAAAAATGGTAAAAAGCAAAAACAATTCTAAGCACAAGATTAAATCTTGAACTGTACAAATTTTTAAATGCCTTTAAAAAATTTTTAAAGCTTTTTAAGACTCACTTTCATAATATATTTTTCTGCTAATATTACTGTTGGTGTATGGCATACTTTAAAAAAAGAAAGCCAGAAGAAATACAAATTTTAACCTAGAAACATTTAGGTTAGGCCTCTATTTGCCTCTACTGAATGTGAAAGAGTGGCTTTAAATACTGGGACTGGGGCACCTGGGTGGCTCAGTTGGTTAAGCATTTGCCTTCAGCCCAGGTCATGGTCCTGCAGTCTTGGGATCCAGCCCCACATCAGGCTCCCTGCTCAGCTAAGGGAGTCTGCTTCTCCCTCTGACCCTCCTCCCTGCTTGTGTTCGCTCTCTCAACTAAATAAAATCTTAAAAAAAAAAAAATCCTGGGATTATTCACTTACCTCTTTAATAAAGAATAAGAATTCACACATTTTATAAGCACTGTACTTTCAATAAGATCATTTCATTTTCATGACTCTCCAAGGAAATAAACCTGATGGTTAGGCTTGACTTTACTAAAAAAGCCCATATATGTAAGTAAAGCCTTGAATTAGGTAAAATGTTTAGCTTCTAACTTTTATTAAGAGGGAACAGATTTCTAAAATTCCTTGACTAAACCAGTTTGATTTAAATTCTTGTACTTTATGTGGAAGTACTGTAAAATTACGCCATTACAAAGACAATGCTATAAAAAAAATTCCGAAGTTTGTGAAACCCCAAGTGGGGTACTTCATTAAGACTACTTGTTTAATAAAATACACATAATTACAACCTCCTTAGTTACATATTTAATATTGCTTTTTTAAGTGCTTAGGCTTAATCAAACTTCTAAAATTGAAAATCTTGGTTGCAAAAATACTTTTCTATCAATTGATGAAAAACCCCAAAGGTTTTCTGTAAAGTACAGTCGTTGAGGCTATGAATTAACTTTTAAAATATTTAACTTTTGTCTAGCTCTGTTTTGATATGGTTTGATATGAAAAAGTTCTAAAAGCATAAACTTACCAGTTTCAATCATTAATTTTTCAGTAGGTATTGACTTCAGAACTTCCAAATTAGCCTCGGTTTTCAGTGAGCTTAAAAGAAAGTCATGTATTTAGTCAAGTTTTTTTCAAATTACAAACTTATCTAAAACATTATAAAACCTAAAGTCCACAAACAAAACTCTGGTTGGCTACAATGGCAATATACACATTTCCATCCTTACAGGATCTAGATTAAGATCTATTCCAACCACACACTGCCTTTAATAGGAGCAAATTTTTGTGTTTATCAGCTGACTGTCCATTAACTTTCTGAGTCAGCCTGTGTAAAAACTCATTTGCTTCCCTGGGTAATTTGCATAACTCAGGCTCAAATGTGGAGTTGGAAGGTATGGCCAGTTTTGCAACTACTGCTAGGAAGGAATCAAAGTTAATGTTTCACTAATCAGCAAAAGAATCCTCACAAATGATGAAAATCACAGTCACAGAACTAAGAGTATTTAACAAGGCATGAAAATAAAAAACTCGTTAGGAGATGTCCTTCTCCCCACATATGGAAACAGGATCTTCCATTACTCTTGACATTCTGAAACTTATGTGAGACTTTTTTCATTCACTTAGGGGAATTAAAACCCCTCCAATTTAGACCCCTCCCCCCAACTCTGGGAAAAAATTATGGGAAAAGGAATTTTCTCCTTTTGTTTTCTCATCTCATTCTGGGACTTGTATTCATCAGTTTTACAACTCCTGAACTGATCTGCTAAGGCCCTGTTTCTTTTACCCTTTCTTGGGAAATTAACTTTGATTTCCTTAACTTTCAATTTCAGAGCTTGAGACAGACTAGATTATTGGTCCTAGTTCTTCACTTTCCTTTCATAGAAATGTATCTGCACCGTTGCCATGGTTTCATAGAGGAAGGAGGAGGTTGAATCTGGTCATGGCCTCAAGACTTGCTTTGACTGGATGACAGAGTTAGAGGCTTGAAAACTCACTTTAAAATTTTGATGGCACTTCTGTGATCTGAAAGCAGCATGCACTAACTAGCCATTACCTCCTCCACCTGGGCACCCAGAATGAAAACCCAGCTCAGATCTGAATTCAGTATGTGACTGTGGCCAAGAGATCTTCCTATCAGTCAGTCAACCCTCAGCTGATCCTAAGACCCAGAAGTATGAAAAAATGCTTACTATAATATGCCAGTGAGTTTTAGGATGGTTTGCTATATAATGTGATGATAATTAATATTGTCCTTATGTTTTAAATTTTAGCATATATTTAAGTTTTTATTATGAGACATTAAAATATATGTAAAACTAGAATACAGAACCCCCATGTATTCATTACTCAGCCCCGATCTATTATAAATTCCTGGCTGATACTATCCCATCAACTCATCCCAAACCTTTCCTGTATTATCTTGAAGGAAATTCAAAATGTATAGTTTCAACATTCTAGCATTTATTTCAGAAAATATTTCAGCATGCATGTATCTCTAAGCATGAAGTTTCCTTTTAATGTAACCACAATACTATTAAGCATGTCTAAGAAAACCCTATTTTATCATCTATCCAATATTCAAATTGTCTCAGTGTCCTACATTCTTTTATTTTTTTAATTTATTTGACAGACAGAGATCACAAGTAGGCAGAGAGGCAGGCAGAGAGAGAGGAAGGAAAGCAGGCTCCCTGCTGAGCAGAGAGCCTGATGTGGGGCTCGATCCCAGGACCCTGGGATCATGACCTGAGCCGAAAGCAGAGGCTTTAACCCACTGAGCCACCCAGGCGCCCCTGTCCTACATTCTTTAAGTTTGTGTGGCTGAGGATCCAAATGAGGGCCACATACTGCAACTGGTCAGTGTTCTAAATCTCAACCTCTTAAGTTTTCCTGAATATCTTTTTCCTTTTTTTTTTTTTTTAAGATTTTATTTATTTGATGGAGAGATCACAAGCAGGCAGAGAGGCAGGCAGAGAGAGAGGGGGAAGCAGGCTCCCCGCCGAGCAGAGAGCCCGATGCAGGGCTCAATCCCAGGACCCTGAGATCATGACCTGAGCCGAAGGCAGAGGCTTAACCCACTGAGCTACTCAGGCACCCCTAAATCTCTTTTTTCTTTAAAATATTGTTGGAGAAACCCAGTTGTTTGCCCTGAAGAGTTTCCCAGTCTTGATTTCATCTGTGTTCATCTGGATATGTATCTGGGCTCTATATTCTGTTCCACTGATCTAGGTGTCTAGTAATAACTGTACTACTATCAGTCTGTCCCTTTATGTCTGTTAATGAACTCTGTATATTTAGATGCTATCTTGAGTGCAGATATCTATAATTATTATATCTCCTTGTTGGATCCCTTTATCATTACGCAATGCCCTTGTCTTTTGTTACAGCATACTTTAAAACAGACTGTATCATTTAAGCATTGCTACTGCAGCTTTTGTTGCTGCTGCTGCCGCTTCTGTTCACACAGACTATCATTTTCCTCATACCTTCAGTCTGCGTGTGTCTTTAGGCCTGAAGTGATTCTCTCATAGGCAGCATATATTAGTTTTTTTCTGTTTTGTTTCCTTATAGATTGTCATCCCACAATTTTGATTGGAGTATTTAATCCAATCCTCCTGAAGTCACTACAGGCATGCTGGGTGGGGGCAGTAGTTGCTTTGTGGGTTCACTAGTCCCAAACAAGGTGACCACTGGGTGTTGCTGGGCAAGAGCCACTCTGGAAGGGGACCTGCCTCACCTGGCAGGTTGGGTGGAGTGGGTCTGACAGAGAATGCAAGGCAGGGTGAACAGCGCTATCAAGATAGTCGGGAGCGTCGGAATTGGCTCTTGTCAGCATCAGGCCAGTCAGCATCAGATGGCACCTGCTAGCACTCCCAGTCCCAAGAGATTTTTCTGTAGATCCCTGCCCCTCCAGCAGCCACCCTAAAATGAGCCAATAAATCTCCTTCCTGTACAACCCAGATATTTTTTAAACTGCTGTCTCTCTGCTGGATCCTGGAGTGAGTGAGACTAGTGTGCTGGCCCTTATGAGTAGAATCTCAGTTTCTAATAGTGCCCTGGCTCTGCTGGAGTAGAGTCCTGCTGGTTATCCAAGCCAAATGTGATGAGGACCTGTCTTCCTGGTGCAGACCCCCAGGGCAGTCAGGAAGCGAGGAGGCACCTGATGTGGGGCTTGATTCCCTTCTCCTCAGGGAGGACCTCTACACCTGTGCTGTCCCTTCCTAGTTGTGAGTTGACATACCACATATTTGGTTCCCTACCTTGTCTCTGCTCCTCCTCACCCTTCTCAGTGTGGCTTTTTCTTCACAGTATGGAAGAACTGTTCCGCAGATCAGGTCATTCTTGGAAAGAACTGCATTACATACAGACATTGCCTGGGTGTATGTATGGTGGGATCCTCCTCCTCCACCATGCTCCTGGTCATGTCAACCTGAAGGAAATTTTGCCTTCTGTATTTCTTACAGGATATCTACATTACCATCTAGAGTCTTGACCAGATTCAGGTGGGATTTTTTTTCTCCTTTTTCTACTTAGAGAGGCACACAGTATCTGGCTGTATTTTTGTGACAGGAGGCAGCCATGGATGCCCAGCGCTTAGACCTCTTCATTTACCAGGAGTTGCAGAATGTTGACAGAATTGTTGGCCCTTTATTCACTAGAATATTTGTATAAAAATTGCTGTGTCTACTATTAGGTGCCCAATGGTAGGTGGTAGAGGGGAAAAATATGTATCTTCCTGTTGAATGTGTTGATTCCCTCACTTCCTCCAATGGTGGTATTGTTTTATAAACATAGACATTTATTTTTAATCATTAAGGAACTCTTACGATCTTTTTCTTGTAATATTCTTGTAATATTGTTCATATTTTATGGATGTAACATCTCAGCCTTTAGTATATCAAGTCTCTTTTAAAGTTCTTTTCCCTAAATTGTTTCCTCTGGTGCTAATTTTTCTATTTATCTTGGTCTTTTTCTTTTGCTAATTTTTCTATTTATCTTGGTCTTTTTCTTTCTGTTGGTTCACTTCATTTATCTGGTGCTCCTTAATTATCAGTTATATTTAAGGAGGCTTGAGTGGCCAGTGTTGTGTTCCCTCTGCTTTTGTGAAAACAGAGGACTTTTTTTTACTGCCAGTTCTCTGAGTGGGGAATCTTACTGGAAGCTCCTTGTGGGACAGGCTGGGACTTGACACACAGATCTGCGATTTCATTTAAGAGTGAGAAGGGAGGGAGATAACTGTGAGGCTTCTGCTCCTCCAAATTCTTTCCTCTGGGATCAACATTAGAGTTTCCAAGCCAAGTTTCTTGGCTCTCACAATTTGGTTTGTTCAGTTTTCTTAAGAAAAGAGATTTCCCTTTGAGTAGAAATGCTTGCTGCACCTGTACTCTGTGCATGGCAATGAACACAGGGAGTGACAGCTTTCTCTATGAGGTCTTGAATTACCCTAACTTAATCCTATTTGTCACTAATTCTAAACCCAAAGTCCTCTCTGTGATTCTGTGTGCCAAATTTGCTCTCACCTCCTCTGGGGCCCTTTAGTCCAACTGGTCTCTTCCAGAAACTCCAGCTTTATTTCTTTATGTTTTTCACTTTGAATACACAGGATTTTACTTTAGAATGATTTTAGAAGGAGTGAAAGGGAAACGTGTGTCTAACTTGCCATAAATACCAGCCTTTTTATTACCGTTCTCTAGAAACAAACAAAACTCTTATTTTCAGCTAGCGTTATCAATTGACCAATAGGAGTATTTTCAAAAATATATTGATATGCTTGATATGGGTATTAAATTTAAAACTTCCAGTTATCAAATTACTTGTATATTTTCAATCTCTTGAAAAGAAATCATGTCTGACTTAGCTGTTTCTACATATACTCCATGCTTATAAAAACTGATCTAAATACAGAAATATATACTATAAAGAAATATTTTTAAATCAAAGCCAATTATATCTTTAGTAAGGTTTTCCATTTAAAGGAAGGCAGCCACATAATTACATAGTCAAATCTGAAACTTTCCCATTTTCATGGAGGAAAATATAATTTAACCCTTAGAAAACAGACTTTATGTCACAGGCAGTATAGATTAAATTACCATAACTCAAGAGACTCAGGTTAAGACTGCAATAAATTGAATTTCAGAATAAGAATAGAAATATTGACTGATTACATGACTGATGTTAATTCTGAATTAATACAGGAAAAAAATCATATCATTAACTTAAAGCCAATTCTTTAAAAATTCAAGGTCATATAGAAATCTCTTAAGACAAATGTACTAAATCAAGTTGGTGAAATAAAGGCCTTCTACCCTCTTCCTTTAAAAAAGATTATTTACAGAGCAAGAGTATGAGCAGGGCAGAAGGACAGAGAGGATCTCAAGCAGACTCCATGCTGAGTGTGAAGCCTGACTTGCGGCCCAATCCCATGACCCTGAAATGACCTGAGCCGAAATCAAGAGTCAGGCGCTCGACTGACTGAACCACTTGGCCGCTCCTACTGTCTTGCTCTTAAAAATCATTTCAAAATAAGAAGGAAAGAAAAAAATCCATTTTTTTTTTAATGAAACTAAGAGATATTTCTGATTCCTAGTCACAAAATATACAGCAGAAAGTAAATGGTAAAATGATAAATGATCTGTTTCTGTGCTAAGGTGACTTGGGTGTCATGTGACTTCGGAGACACAAGCAAACCAACTGACCCAAGGAAGTTCTAAGAACTAGAAGATCGGGGTTTTAAAAGGTGGGGAACAGAAAAGACAAAAGTGTCAGATTACTTCCCAGGGGACGGGTGCAGAGATGACTACTTCTGCCCCCTACCCCTGGCCTGAGAGAGAGAACGGGGAGAGGTTGTGCGTACAGTCTCTGGAGAAGCTAAATCAGAGACAGCGCAGCACAGAGGCATGCAGCGGGGAAGCACGGGGTGAAAACAGAGACCGAAAGCTGACTGCTTGGTGAGCTCCTCTCTCCACCCTCATTCTGCCCCAGAACACCAGCACACTGACGAATCCCGACCCTTCCCAGCGGAGATCAGAGGATCCCAGTCTGAAGAAACTGAAGCAACCCAGAAAGAGCCTGACAGGCTGACATTTAGGAATCCCTGGTGCAGTCGGCTGGCTTGCCGGGCGATGCACTGTCTCCCCACAGAGATTCCAAAGAGCTTTCTGTCTTAACTTTTTAAATACAGAGCATAAGAATTGCCTGACATTTGAAGAAAGTCATGACAGGGACTAAAACAAAGAAAAAGGAACTCAGAGGAAATAAAAGCATGATATGGCGGGACACCTGGGTGGCTCAGTTGGTTAAGCAGCTGCCTTCGGCTCAGGTCATGATCCCAGCGTCCTGGGATCGAGTCCCACATCAGGCTCCTTGCTCGGCAGGGAGCCTGCTTCTCCCTCTGCCTCTGCCTGCCTCTCTGTCTGCCTGTGCTCGCTCACTCTCTCTCCCTCTGTCTCTGACAAATAAATAAATAAAATCTTTGAAAAAAAAAAAAAACATGATATGGCAAACAAAAAATAACGAAATCTATCTTTAGAGAGATAAGATGCATCTGCACCTGTCAAACCAGATAATGACAGGGAAGGGCTTTCAGATATTAGAACCAGAAGCTGAAGTTTTATTAAAAAGTTGAAAAATATTTTTGAAAGTGGGAGAAACAGAGATAGAAATTACAGGGGAAAAAACTGAGATCAGAGTATGAGCCGGGGAGGTCCAAAGAAAGAACAGGAGAAAAAAAAAAAAATTCCCAGAATGGACAGAGATGAGCTTCTAGCTGGAATGGGCCAGTAGAGAGCGCACGAACTCTGAACTGACAAACCCATCGAACACCTTTGTGAAGTCTAATAATTCCAGAGGTAAAGAACTAAAATATTCCACTGGGAGAAAATCGTAGGCCTACACCGTAAGGACTACAAATGAGGACAGCCACTGATTTACTGACATTAAGCCTAGAAATGGAGTCCTCCAAATTCTCATGGACTTAATAGAAAATTATTTCTAGTCCAGAATTTTATGCCCAGGAAAAATACCCAATAGAAGGGTTTTTGTTTTTCTTTCATTAACTATCCAGGCAATCTTTCAAAAACAAAGTAAATTCAACTGAAACATGTTCCAGCAAAACAAAACTGAATACACGGGATCAAAAAGTAAGAGTTCCGTCGCAGAGCAGACACTGGTCCGAAACGGAGAAGATGGAAGGGTCAGAAACTGGGCAGATAATCTAAGGCCAGATTATCTAGACAGTTTTCCTCATGTGGAGAAACAGGAAGGCGTTTCACAGAGCTGCTGCAACGTGTGAGAAGGCTTTAGCTTTTGAAGAAAACCATAGCCTATGTTCAGCAGTCAACAATATTTACACAGACATAATAATGAAAACACTAGATGCGCATACAGCCGCAAAATTCCGAACTAAGTACAATGAGAAGCCTGTGGAGGAAAGAATTCAGGCGGCAGGAAAGTACTGGATGTAAGAACGAAGACGCTCGTACTCCTTAACGGAAACAGAGAAGACGAATTAAGAGAGAACCGCACACACTAATACTTAGACATATGATGATGAAGAGCTAAGTGGGCATCTCTGGGAAAGCTGACTTACAAGTCTCTGGGAAAGCTGACTTACAAGTGGAGAGTATGGTGGGGAGACTGTGTCTAAGTTTTTCAAAACTACTTTATAATCCATTATTCATGTATTCCTTTCCATAGTGGTTTACTGATTAAATCATTAAAATAAAGAAGCAGCACCTAGGACATATAAATAAATCTGAACTCCATAGCAAATAATTTCATGGTTCTATTTCCCCGAGGAGATATTTTAGTAAAAAATAATGCAGTCAGCTAAGTGGTAGTTTTAAAGGAACGAAACCCCGGGGAGGGACAGCCCAGGGACCCAGCGGGGCCAGCTGACAACACTGGGCTTACACAGGCTAGTGTGGTGTACCAGCAGGAAGGTCAGCGAGCATGGAGGCAGAAGACACTGGTTCTCACGCTATCAGTTACTTTAAACCGGTTTCTTAACTTCTGAGAGCCTCACTGTCTTGGCCTACATACATCTATGAAATGATTATGTCATAAGGGCAGACATCACTTGTGTACATGCATACACAATGCTGCAAACGTGCATGTTTTAAAGGGATAAAATGACCCGAGAATCGACTGCATTGCTAGAGAAAGCCAAGCTGTTGATCTGGATACAAAACTGTTTTCTGTAACTGCGATGCCGGGTTAGTGTACAACCTGCAAGTTTTCCGTAGGCTCTGTGACCAAAGTGGGGCTTGAACTCACCACCCCAAGATCAACAGCCGCATGCTCTACCAACTGAGCCAACCAGGTGCCCTATAACTTTCAAGTTTTAACTGAAAGGAGTAATGGAGTTTTTTACTTGCAGGAATAGCATCATTTAACTTCTCACATATGTACAGAAATTCACAGGCCAAGATCAATGTGATAAACAAATACATTTAAATCCATATCTGCAATTCACTATAGAACAAGGAGTCTACTTAATATAAAACAAATGTAAGGACCTACCAACCATTAAATCCTATATAGAGATCCAAGTCAACCAAGGCTGCGGCTGCTTCCTTCGTACCATCAAAGGAATGTACCTAAGGACATACAGGTAGAATTTCATTTAATTAATTTTCCTTTAAAATCCTAAATGACACCAATAACTTTCTAAGCAGAAGCAGAGATGCATTAGGGTTTTTTGGATCAGAGCATTTCACATGCGGTGGCCCCTATGGTTTTTATTTTCAAATCCAATCTCACAATTAAAATGGGTCAACATCCCCCCTGATGTGAGGCAAGAGGGGAGAAGGCTGCCTAGAACTTCTGTCCCTGGCTGCCTGATGGCTCTGCTCCAGCACTCCCGCAGCGCCGCCAGGAAGGGGACTGGCGCTGGGAGCCCCATCCTCACTGAGGCTTGAATTCATGCAAAAGCATGAAGCATGAAGTTAAAAATGCAAAAGCAAAAGCATGAAGTTAAAAATGTTATAAAACCATGTAAAGTGTATCTTAAAATGTTCAATTTTTATGTTATGGGCTACCTTCTTCTAGAAGAGAGATGACTTAAGAGGACAAGTTTTAAGAAGATCAATCAAGAGTTGTAAGAATGTCACTAAAAAAAACGTGAACTGTTATACAGTAGTATCTCAGGAGGCAGAAAGGAGCAAGATGGTGTTCTCCTTCAAAGCTATAGGGATTAAAGCATAGTTTTTCACACTTTGAACATATTTGTGTAATCAAAACCACACTTAACAATACTTCTTTAGGGGCGCCTGGGTGGCTCAGTGGGTTAAGCCTCTGCCTTCGGCTCAGGTCATGATCTCAGGGTCCTGGGATCGAGCCCCGCATCGGGCTCTCTGCTCAGCAGGAAGCCTGCTTCCCCCTCTCTCTCTGCCTGTTTCTCTGCCTGCTTGTGATCTCTCTGTGTCAAATAAATAAAATCTTTAAAAAACAAACAAAAAAGCATTACTTCTTTAAATACACCTACAAGTGGGGGCACCTGGGTGGTTCAGTTAGTTAAGCAGCCAACTCTTGGTTCCAATTCAGGTCGTGATCTCATGGGTCATGGGGGCAAGCCCCATTTGGGGCTCAGTGCAGAGTCTGCTCGGAATTCTCTCCCTCCTTCTGCCCTTCCCCTGCTGATATGTGCATGCTCTTTCAAATAAATAAATCTTTTTATAAAAATAAACACACACACCTAACAAGTGATGTCATTAATGCATTCATACAGCAACCAGAGTCCCAAATCCATTACGAAAAACAGGCTTCTCAAAAACAGAACCATGTTATACAGCTGCCCAGAAGAGTTTGTTCTTCCCCTCAGCATTTGCAGCTGACTAGAAAATATATCCTCCATTAACATCAAAATAATTTTAAATAAGACTCTTCATAAACCATTTCAGAAAATTAGTTATACTTTATTCGGTGATTTTTTTTTTTTTTTTCCCAAGTAATTCCTACACCCAGTGTGGGACTTGAACTTACAACCCCAAGATCAAGAGTCACACATTCTACCCACTGAGCCAGCCAGGCAATATCTTTTTTTGAAAAAAGTCAAACATTTAGGTTGGATTTGTTGCTGTTAAGTAAATTCTTTAGAAATAAAAAAAATGGGCTAAGAGGTAGAACCATTAATCCCAAGGGCATTAATGAGAGCCTCTAAGCCTCTCTCAGTTCCCAAAGGATAAACTGCAGGGTCAGTAAACTACAGATACAAAAGTGCACAGCAGTGCAGAAAACATGATCGCTAGCAGTCCGTGAGACACGAAGCAGGGCTCCAAACCTGGGAGAATACAGAGGACACTCAGCAGCACAGTGCGGGCATACAGTATGATACCCACAGGGAGTAGGTACAGTAAGTCTAAGTGCCATTTCCTCTTTCCTTACTTGGACTTAGTAGGACTGATTTTACAGAGCTGGGTAATAGCTTTTCTGCTAGAGACTAGTGAATTGCTCTTAAAATTAGAGGTGAAAATGTATGCATCAGAGAGTTTTTCTGAGGCAGATTTTCAAAAGAACCCATAATCCAAAAAAGACTTAAAAAACACTGCTTTGGATGCCTGAGCTAGGGCAGATAACATTTATGGGAACTGACTGAAATGACCACACAGAAATGTTTAAAGTAGAAGCACATTACAGAAAGGAGGGGTCTCGGATCAGAGTGGTTAACAGCAAATGAGTAGAGTGGACAAGAAATTAAGAAGGCAAAACTGAAGTGAGAATTAAAATATTAAAATCAGTGTATACCCTGCTCAGAATTTCAAGTGAAAACCACTGAAGAACGGCTGATGGAAGAGGCAGAGAAAAAGACCATCACCCACGCTCCTGAAACACGAGTTCATTCACGGGGTTTTCTTGTGAACCAAACTCTATCATTCTTGTACTTTGAACAAAATAAATATAATTAAATCCGTGTGACTTATGTATCGCATCTGGCCCACAGATTCTAAGGTAAACATGCGTCCTTCAGTAAGAGGGGGAGGAACACTGACTGCTGATCCCTGAATTACTTCACAACCCGAGGAACAAGGAAGCTTCTGGGCAACTCTTCTACTTACCACTCCCCCCACACACCGGTCTCTGTGTCTCTTCATTATGTCTGTGAATTAAAAACAAACAACTGTTGGCTAATACCTTGCTTGATTTCTGCAAATTCTTAAATTCTAAATGAGATTTTAGCTTTAACTCACCCAAAAATTCAGCATGTGAGTTCCGACAGTGAAGAAACATTGGTAATTTTGTTTGTTCTGCCAGTTCAAACTGCTTTTCAAAGTATCTGTAGGATGCCAAAAAAAATCCTTGTTAATTCTATTTTAGTGTGAAAAAAATAATTGTTAAATATTTTTAAGTTAAAGGACTTTTATTATCTTGAGATTACGGGACAGAAGTAGTGAATTCAGACATTTAAAACACATCTGGCTTAGTCAAAGGCTTTTATAACACACAACTTCCTGAAAAGGACACATCATTTTCTGGGATTACAAAATTTTTTTCAAAAATGTTGGTTAGCTTTCCATTATAACTACTGGGTAAATTAGGTAGCACTTTACTACTGATCACTAGAAATAGCTATAATGTTTATGTTTCCAGTGATGGGAGCTGTTCCTCAAATAATTACTTATTTTTTTTTTTTTTACACATTTATTTGAGAGAGAGAGAGACAGCCAGAGAGAGCACGAGTAGGGGATGGGACAGGTAGCAGGAGAGGGAGAAGGAGGAGCAAGGAGGCTGATACAGGGCTCAGTCCCAGAAAACTAGGATCATGACCTGACCTGGAGGAAGACACTTAACCAAATGAGCCACCCAGGTGCCCCTCAAATGATTACTTTTAAATAGGTTTTCCCACCAAACCCAGCAAATGAAGCAGATACTCTGCCATCACCCGTGGGATCCCTTCCCTGCGGCATGTGTTGGAAGGGAAGAGCACACCAGCAGCCTCCTGCGCTGAGAGCTGGCTGAGCACCATCAATGGAGGCCAGTTCGCTGCAGCCAGGGGCCTGGCACAGCTTTATACTCAGTGTTTTCCGTGTTCTGTTATACAAGGAATTACTACCACTAGATGCAGGGATTTAGTAGACAAATATAAATAGCACAAAAACTGAAACATTCTATTTTTCAAAGATATAAAAACTACACGATAAAATAGCAGCCGTGGGGCACCTGGGCGGCTCAGTCGGTTAAACGTCTGCCTTCAGCTCAGGTCATGATCCCAAGGTTGTGGGATTGACTCCACATCGGGCTCCCCACTCAGTGGAAAGCCTGCTTCTCCCTCTCCTTCTGCCTGCCGCTCCCCCTGCTGTGTTCTCTGTCAAATAAATACATAAAATCTTTTTTTTTTTTTTTTAAGATTTTATGTATTTGACAGAGAGAGATGACAAGTAGACAGAGAGGCAGGCAGAGAGAGGAGGAAGCAGGCTCCCCGCCAAGCAGAGAGCCTGACACCGAGATCATGACCCGAGCCGAAGGCAGAGGCTTAACCCACTGAGCCACCCAGGCGCCCCTAAATACATAAAATCTTAAAAAATAAATAAATAAAATGACATTTGTGAGTATTTAGAGAGTACTTTATAAAAAGGTTTTTCAAGTGCCACATACCATTATCTCATCTGATCCACAAAATAACCCTTGAACAGGACAAGAGCTGGTGCCAGAGGATGTACGACCTCATCCAAAATCACAACACACTGTAACAAACTTGGACCCAGAAACTGAGTGCTCGAATTCCAGGTCTCAGCCAAAATGACTAAAAGTTGTGACATTTCCAAGAAGCTTCTTCTGGTTCCACAGCATAATGAAAATAGCCAGATGTAACATGGTGCGTGCTCCCGGCGTTCTCACTCAGCACGGGGCTCACTCATTCTCACTCATGGTCATGCAGCTCAAATGAAACAGGAGTTACAGAGAGTAAAGGGTCTTATTTTCCTACAGGCGTTTACCTCTACTAGGCACCTTAATTTTAGGGAATAATTTCTTGGTGTTTAGTTTAAATCTCTTTTGCTGTCTATTCCTCTATCTTATCCCCTTGAAATACAAGACAACCATTTTCCTGGAGTACCCCTTTGTCCTCTTGAAATGCTAAATTTTCAAATTAGACACATAAGTGCACTTCTTAAGGAGTTTTCATAATTTTGGTGGGTTTTTTTGTCTTTATTACCCAGTGTTTAGGCTTTTAAATCACCTTTTCAGGTTCTGCTGGGCTACAGTAAGCAAAAATAATTTTAGTTAACAAAGTGCTGAAATTTCACAGGGCAGGAAACAGAAATGAAATCTTTAAAGAAAAGTCACTATTTCCATAACCTCTACAGTAACTGAAATGTCAGCAACGAAGTGTGCTCCAGTCATTACATAAACTTTACCATGGATCTGGCTTCTGGCTACACACTGCACACTCTCCGCTTCACGCTCCCCATCTACGCGGATCGTTTCTTTCACACACAATTCTATGTACAAAGCCACACAACTGAGCCACAGATTTACAAAAATCTAATGATCCCCTTGGGAATAAGCCTGCCCATCACAGCAGGCAAAAGTACAAATTATGAAAATAACAGATGTTCAAGCAACGTGCCTCCATTATTCTGCATATGAGAAAAGAAAGGTCCATACACTCAAGCTAGCTAGGTGTCTTAAGGAGGCCAACTATTCCTAATGACACAGACTGAGGATAACCAGGGCTTGACATGAAGTACCTGTTGTCTTTAAAGAAAAAAACCCACCATCCTAACGAGAAATAGCGTAAGTTACAAGCAGCAGAAACTGGCCCTTATCAAGAGATTTCTCTGCTTCTTTTACTGTTTTTTTTCTCTTAGTTCATAAATGAAAAGCGCTGCTTACTTGAGTTAGATTTGCTCATTTTAGTGAAGCTGTAATTTGCTTTTGCCTGTATAACTGCTTCTTACATTTGAGGGTCAACAATAGCAGAGGACAAGGGCTTGAAAAGGTCAGCTTGCGAATAGCTGTTAGTAATTAAGACTGAGGCAACTCCCAAAAGCCCAGAGCCTCTGGACTGGCCCATGGCAAGGACAGCCTCACTCTCTCATCGCTGGGGTTCCCTAAATCCCCAAACGGTTCTTTTGAAATCTTGTCTGAGGTTGGATTTCTTTTTCCAAAACAGACCTGCACAGTATTAACATTTTAAAGCCCCGGAAAAATCCCACAGCAAATTCTTCCCACTCAAGTGAACTGAGCTCTAAACTTGCAGCAAAAGGGGATGGAGCACAGGGTAGACACTGAATAGACAGAACAGGCTTCAAGGGTAACCCTTCCACAGCAAAGTCCGGCTTATTCCTTATTTTCATGCCTTTTGGGTTTTTTGCTCTTTAAAAAATGCTTTTCAAAAACCCCAAAGAAAAAGATAGTCTGTATTTTCTTTAGGATGAAAATACTTCTGAGATTACCACCACAGTCGCAATTTCTGGAGCACTAACTGCGCCAAGTCTGTTACTATGATGCGCTTTACATACCAGATGTTGAGACAGGTAGGCAGTATTATCCCCATTTCAATGATGAGGAAACTGAGATTTACAAACAGACACACAGCCACCAAATGGCAATTAGGGTTCAAACACAAAGCTGTCAATTCTCCGAGAACTACTCCACACAGTTACAATCCGCCTCACTTACCAGCAGGCCTCGGTATTCTTTGGCCATTGTGTCTACTGCACATCAGTTCTGTCTTGCCTACTAATCCATCACACCATTTTCTATTTTTCCTCTTCTCATACATCTTTTTCCTGACTGCATTTTTACTTAAAACAACAACAAGAACACCAAATCATACTCTGGTTGTCTCAGATGGTATAAAGAACAGCTCAAAATCGAAATTCTTCCAAGAAAAGATCCAATAGTAAAAGCCAAGTTATAGGCTTTTTACTCTACGCTGCTCTCCAGGAATCAAAAAGACCCTTTCTCCTTATGAAAAACTCAGTGAACATTTATGGAGTACCCGCCAGGCACTGAGAGTACCGTGCACAGTGCTATGGGCGCGACAGCACGAGTGAGGCTGGGTATATGCCCCCAGAGAACTCAGACACTAGTCTGTTGTGGGACAGGAAGGGGGGACGGAATGTATTCCGGGACAATGTGAGAAATGCTGAAACAAGTACAGAGCACTGTGTGTGCAGGGAGGGAGCTTCCGCAGAGGACAGGGCGTGGGGAGGTGGGAGCGGCGTGGGGAGGGATATTTGTTTTCTTAACAACAAACCAAATGGGATTCCTACTGCTGTGGTTTTTTTACTAAATCATTTGATGTTTTAGAATTTAAAATCTCAAAATGAACTGCCCATCTTTTTAAAATCTTTTAAACCATACTTTAGTTTGTCCTTAGCTTTATCTCCTCTGGAAGACGTCTAGCTCACATCGCCTCACCTTATTAGCAAAGCCTTCCCTGACTCCCCCAGAAAGTCCTTCCCCCTGCTCTCCTACACCTTGTGTTAGCATTTTCCAACCCATTTTAATTACTTATGTCCTCTCTTATCTATAAAGGCATCAGAACCAAGCCTATTCTTTGTATTACACTGAGGAGGCACTTGGTAATCGTGTACTGAACGAGTACTGAGTTTAAACTCTTAGTACAGATTACTACCCCGGCACCTGGCATCTGTGTTCAAGCATAAACGACATCCTGCTATACGTACTGTTTTAAGTTCTGATCTTAAGGTAATGGTGGGAGTATCCTCAGAGCAGTGAGACAGAACTATCAATGTTTTCATTAAGACAAAAAAATTGAGTTTCAAGTATGTAGGTTGCATTTTAGAATCAGTCTGAATGCATGTGGATCAAAGTCCTACAGCCACAGGACCACTGTCACACCCCACGCCATCTGTCTGCCTCGCGATGTTCATCTTGGCCAAACACAGACTCTAAGGTGGAGGAATTAAGATCTGTGGGCTTCACCTACCAAACTCAAGCAGCCAACTATTTTTCAATTTAAATGTGAGTATGTGAACTTTTAAGGTAAGTGAGTGACCTATAAAAATGATAGTCAAGAGAGGTTTAGGATTTAATAATCCTCCTGGTCATCAGGTGACTGTCCCGGAAAACCACAGCATCATACATCACTGAACAGCTCTGAGAGGATTTAGTCTAATGTTCTATCACCTAGATAACAAATACATTGTTTCTGAAATGCAACAAAATGCTCATTAATAGACTTAAATTAAGTCTATGAGCTACTTTTTCTTTTTGGCCTATCATACTACCCCGGTGTGCTGACAGGAGCTCCAACTAAAACGTATAGGCCGTGGGTTGTAGGAAGTCTACAAAGGTTGGAAACTTTCGAGTTTTCTGAGAAGCTCCCACTCTCCACATGGCTCCTGTGAAAAGACCCTCACGTTCTAAGCTGACAATATCCAGAGCCCAGCAAGAGTAGGTTTTTCCTACTTTGGTGATTGATTCTATAATCTCCTTCTACTACCCCTTGCTCTCAAATCCTTTAAATTACTGCTCTTAAATCATTCCATTGGAATGGTTCCTGCATGAATACAAGCATGAGAAAAAGAACAACAAAAATCTCCATCATGTAAAACTCATCCCTAACTTCTACCATTAAAATTAAGTTAGATGGTTAATCAGTTAGGAACTAGATGCTTCCATCCCTTATGAATTCCATGCAAGTATGCATGGAATTTTTTTCACTTCATTTTTGATATATAAAGGGAAAATGCTTAATCCTGATGCTTAATCCAACTACATTCTGAACAAATAAAACCTATTTTTTAAAAAAATCACTCTTCTGATTTTACGATAATTACTAAAGTCAAAAAATTTCCTTACTTGAGCTGAGTATCTTTGGGACAGAACTGTAGTCGGTCGAAATCTTTAAAAGACAAAATAAACAAATAAATAAATAACAACTCATTAACTTGTACATAACAAATCACTTTCAAAGTCACTCTAACAGGGCTGGGTTGGCACTTACCCAGTCCACACTCCCCGATTGCTACAACTTTCCCCTTATTGTTTTCAGCAAGATTTAACAACTCCGTTAAGTAAAGATCAGAGTCATTCTTTTCAAATTCATCACATCTTGTAGGATGACATCCAACTGTACTGAAAAACATATCTAGCACAAAATAATGTCTTAGGATTATTTTCAAAATATTTTTCATATTATACTTAATATGCAAAAATGATAGAACAAATAATTTCAACTGGTTAATTTTTAATAATAGCCATAAACTATTTTAACTACAAGAACCGCATATGGTTAATCATATGATAATTTTTGGAATAGCTTAACAAAGCAGGACATGAATATGAAAATTGCCTTTAACATATTGGTAAAAAGAATTAATTCAACTTTCCAAAGTTTGGTATTTACTGAGTCCTGCAGAATGGAAAATAAAACAATTTCTTGGAGAATGAAATGTCACAACCTAATTATATCTTTTATATTCACTATTCACATCACTGTCTTGTTTCATGTATTTAACATAACAAAATATATTTCTTCCCCTTAAAAAAGGTGACTTAGAGGAACCTGGGTGGCTCAGTCATTAAGTGGCTGCCTTCGGCTCAGGTCATGATCCCAGGGTCCTGGGATGGAGCCCAAGCCCTGCATGGGGCTCCCTGCTCAGCGGGGAAGCCTGCTTCTCCTTCCCCTCGCCACTCCCCCTGCTTATATTCCCTCTCTTGCTGTCTCTGTCAAATACATAAATAAAACAAACAAAAAGGGTGACTTAAAGAGATGGAAAGAGAATCTGTTTTTTTCTTTTTATTTTCTTAAGAGCGAGCATGGGGGGAGGGGCAGAGGAAGAGGGAGAAGCTCTCTGTCCACTGAGCAGGGAGCCCAACACCAGGGCTTGATCCCAGGACCCTCGGATCATGACCTGAGCCAAAGACAGATGTATAACTGATGGAGCCACCCAGACGCCCCGGGATTTGTTTTTCCAATAAAAAATAAAGCTCACTTATTTGGAGATCATGCTAGCTGTGACTGCATGGAACACAAGTATGAAGTCAAAAAGGGCTTCTGAGTGGCTTGGCCCTGAAGCCCAGGAGAGGCGGGGAGCCTTCTTCAGCCTCTCCTGCAGATGTTTACATATAAAAGGAGGCATTAGTTTTAAAGCTGTGGGGACACAGGTATGGGAAGAGGAGTGAAGAGGCTGACAAGGGAGCTTCAAGAACGTTTAAAAGTGTATCTCTTCAAGAATAAAAAGTATGGAAGACAAGATTCTTATATCCCCAGAGGCATCTGGGAAGGTGACTACTTTTACCTTAATCACTAAAAAAAAGTGTTAGTGGATCCTGAAGAGAAGTATGCATTTTAGAAAGATTTCCATAAAAATTAACTTTTAGTAAGTAAATCAGTATTTTGAAAAATAACATGGAATGCCTAATTCTTCAATGTCTAGCACAAGAAGCATGCATGCCAAAACCCAAAACCAAAATAAGTTAGGTAAAATGAATACCAGATAAGGAGAGGTTTTCTGTAACTAGGATTTCCTTAGGAACCAATTCTAAAACTTCACAGATTTTAAATAATTGCAAAATGCATGAACATAAAGTGAGCAGAGAGATTATATATTATTACTTGCATTCCTGGGGTCCTAAAACAATGGTCTGCATGATAAATATTTAATAAATGATCCTTCACAAAGTTTAAATAAAAAGCAACTTAAGCACATTACAACATAGAAAAATCTTACATCAGGAATATGTGAGGCTAACTGTATACCCAGTGAACTTAACTCTCATTAACCTAAAAAAAAAAATAAATAATCAAAATAATGGTTAAGTATGTGAGAGAGAGGGTTTAAGCAAACATCTGATACACCGGTGGGTACTCAGAATTCCTTCATTTTAATCATGTCTCATGGCAATCAGTCTGTTTTCCTGTTATTTCCACAGTCACAATCCATTGTATTGCACCTGAGGCAGTTTTTAGAAAGATTTCTTCAAAATAACTCAGCTCGTATTTCGGGTGGGTAGGGGGCTGGGGTAAAAGGAGTATGAAGATACCATTTGTTTGTGCCAAATGCAGTGCCTCTTTACTGTCCTGCAGATCTCCACCTGTAATCATGAACTGAAAAAGAAAGAAAGAAAATAAGCCTACTTGAACAGGGCATCAACAACAGTTTCCCAAACATGCCTTCTTGCTGCCTTTTTCCAGAATGCTCCTCTCTCTTTGACTATCACACACTTATCCTTCCTTTAAAATGTGGCTGAAAGGTCATCTCCTATTTCGAGTGGTCCCCGACCACCCCTCTTCACACACACAAGCATAAATACAACACAGAATTTATCACTACTACCCACTAAAATGGATTCACATGTCTGTTTTTCCTGTTAGATCAAGAGCTCCTTAAGGACAGAGATCACATTATGAAAGACTGAATAACTAAAGACTTCTGAATTTAGAATTCTGTTCATCTAAATTGAAGATTCAGTAGTGTTTATTAATTCAACAGTTCTCCAAGTGTGGTCCCAGAACCCCCTGGTGAATGTGAGGGCAAAACTATTTTCATAATAATTCTAAGATGCTATTTGCCTTTTTCACTCTCACTCGGCCCCAAGGGTGCAAGGAGATATTCCAGAGGCTTCATGATGGGTAATAGCACAACAGACTGACTGCAAAAACAGATACCCAAGTTCTGGAGTCTTCTATTAAGAGCCAGACATTCAAGACATGTTTAAAAAAAAAAAAAGACAAAACAATTCCACTCACGTCACTACAATTTTTTGGTTTGGAAAATACTTATTTTTCATAAAAATATGCTAGTTATATAATGGTTTATTGTTAGTAGATACATATATATATATATATATATATATGTATTTTAAGATTTTAATTTATTTGACAGAGATTACATGTAGGCAGAGAGGCAGGCAGAGAGAGAGAGGAGGAAGCAGGCTCCCTGCAGAGCAGAGAGCCCCATGTGGGGCTTGATTCCAGGACCCTGGGATCATGACCTGAGCCAAAGGCAGAGGCTTTAACCCATTGAGCCACCCAGGCACCCCTGTTAATAGATATTTTATATTCTTCTTAGTTCTAATTTTTAATATTAACAAATAAAACCCACAAAGAGAAAAACTCTTTGGGTCTTCAGGAATATTAAAGAACGGGAATGGGTTTTGAGACCAAAAGTTTGACCATCGCTGAATTAACACATATTGAATTCTCTGTAAGGAAATGTATGGCTCCTGGCAGAAAGCAGGCTTCTAAAGACATAGCCCTCCGGGTCCCCCAGCTGTGAGAACGACGGTATTAAAAGGAGAATGTTACAAAGAGCAATGTGTGGGTGCCGGCTACTGAGGCAGTGCTGCTGAAGCATCCGTCCTTCGAAAGAAGGGACGAACTAAGCACGCTGACGTAGATTTTTTTAAGCATCTCCCTTCAAATGCCTCACTGAGCTAAAATGAAGAATTTCTTCTAGGTACGGGCCTCAAGAGAAAACAGGAGGAAGTGCAAAAGATGAATAGATGTTTTCACAGAGCAACCTAAGTTTCTAATATAATAGGCCCTGAGTATCTATTCAGGGAACGCGCAGCCATTATTAAATGCTCAACTGCTTGTAAAACAAACGGTGTTAAGATATTAAAAAAATATTGAGAGAACGTGACTGTTTACTAACACCACCTAATTCTTTAATACAAAACCAGGTGCCCTCATCTAGTATTTCAATTCTGTAAAATATTTCCTATTCAAGTCTACCTTTTATTTTATCTATAACTTTCCCAAATAGATGAAAAAATGAGGACAAGGCTAGAGGACGTAATTTCCCCTCCCAGGTCACAATGATGATACTAGGATGATGGTGACTTCCACCATAAACCTGATAGAGAAAAGGGTATTTACACAGGTACAATACCATGTGCTTTGTACTCCAGTTTTATTTAACTCTCACAACAACTCCCTTAATTAGGCATTATTATCATTCTCGAATTACAGATGCGAAAACTGAAGCCTAGAGAGAGAAGCACCCATGTTACGAAGTTCTGAAGAACGAAGCTGGGGCTGAAACCCAGGGGTGTGCAGCCATAACTGTGCTTTTCATTACTACAACGTAACTGCAGGACACTAAGTTAGATTCCAATTAGGAAGCACATCCGAGACATCAGTGTGTATGTTTCAAATGCTAGGATTAAATTAGGATTAAACTACTCATGGCTGACACATGAAAATTCAGGAGGTTGGTATTTCGGAGTCTGCAGAAAAGCATTTTATGAAGTGATTTACCAAGCAGGGAATGAATGCATAATGAGAAATGAATATTGGAACGTTTATCCCTTCTTATCACGGTGAACAGAGACCACAGCGCAGAGCTGGGACCGCGGAACTCAGGAGCCAGCAGGGTCCTCTCTTACTCGAGGTAATTCAACTTAGAAGCCACAGCTACCAAGTCTCCTGACACCACACTGGGGAACTTAACCTTACGTGTGCATATGTGGGCTAGCTTGGTATTTTTTTTAAATATTAATTAAAAACAAGTATCTATTCAGAGAATTTGACACAGAGCTAATATTCATTTGCTTAGAACTCTCTTAAAAAAGTAGAATTATCCTGATAATCAAGTTAGTACTGTAAAAATTAAAGTGTCTTCTCAGTTGTTCAAAAAGGTATATTCATACTGTAAAAGCTAAACTTGGTGATGGATACAGGTCTTTCTGATACCCGCTGAGTTCTAACAAATGCTAAGTTAGGTTATAAAATTTATTAAGAGTGCATCTTGAGAAGCCTGATAATTAAAATAGGTTTTAAACACTTTTATCAAGGAGACTTTGCCATTTACCACACTTCTGCTCACATAAAGAACTAAGCATAAGGCTTGTGTCACTTAAGTTTTGATGTTTTACTTCATTTACTTACTAATATTACTTGTTGACAATACATATCCCCAAATGTCAAGCGTGGCATGAGCTCCTTCTCTTCTATTCTACAGTATCTTAACCAGAATTTAATTTTTTAAAAAAACTTAACAAAAAGTTACCTTTTTAACACCAATCTGGACAGCTCTCTCTATTACATCTTGTAAATCATCTGTAAAAAGCAAACCCCACATTAAGAAAACCTGGTAAAAAAAAATTTTCACTTACTTATCCCTTCTTGAAAGAAAATTACAAAGAAACAATTATATTTACCAGATCAATATTGAGTACACATATAATAATAATAATAATAATAATAATAATAAAGCAATAACCCAAAAAGAAAAGAAACCCATATAAGGCAAACTAGATGCCTAGTTATCCATTTAATTATATTTTATTCTGTTGACCAAAGGGAGAAGAGTGACAAAAATCAGGAGATTCAAACCAAAGGTGAATTTGCTCACTATCATTTAAATCACTTGCCTTAAGTTCGAAACTTGTTGGCACTGTATTTTTTTTATATAAAAATAAAACGATCATTAAGATCGTTATTTTGGGGGGCACCTGGGTGGCTCAGTGGGTTAAAGGCTCTGCCTTCGGCTCAGGTCATGATTCCAGGGTCCTGGGATCGAGCCCCACATCGGGCTCTCTGCTCAGCCGGGAGCCTGCTTCCTCCTCTCTCTCTCTGCCTACTTGTGATCTCTGTCAAATAAATAAAATCTTTAAAAAAAAAAAATGATTATTTTTACTACAGCCTTTCAAAATATATCTGTAATGCCTCCCAAAGACCTCTTTGTAAATTGCAGTTAATGCTGTATTTCTGTAATTCCCATTCCCACTGAGGAAGAATAATTTTTATTTTCTCTGACAGTTTTTTGCTTTTCCCCTCAAATATCTTATTAAGTAACAACAAGCTTTAAGAGGCCTGAGGTAAATGGATGGCAAAAATCAAACAATTCTATCATAAAAATCCAATTAATTTCATATTTAATTACCACAGTAAATTTAGTTAGAATCCAATTATTTCTAGAATAGCTATAAAATTTTTTAGACAAAAACTATCAAATTAGTGAACTTATACTAAGACAACTAGTTTTGCTAAATATTATAAACCAGGGTCCTACTGATACTGACGACAATAAAACTTATTTCATAAACACACACATACATAGAGTCACAGAGCATGAAATCTATTAAGTGCTACAAGGGCATGAAAATCAGACTATAATTTATTCAATCTTTATTCATCTTATAAACGTAAAGCAAAAACATTACCTGAACTTCTAAATGGAGGAGAAAAGGTAAGTTTTGAGGTAAGGCTTACGAAAGCTAACGCTGAACTTTCTTCTGTAAAGTGGTACCTGACACTCCCAGTTTTTAGAGGCTTTCACTTGGTGTCACCTAGAAGCAGTGAAATCAGCTCTGACTTCACTGTTGGAATGTGCAGTTCCACTTCACCCAGACCACAAAATCAAATTTTCATGTTTGCGTTTACATAATAACAAGTACAGTAATTTTTGAGACAATATTTAGAAACCAGTTTATTGGAGAAATTCTCCTTTCAAAAACATGTTGTCACCATCACTTACTGCTTCCTTGCCTCAGCTGACGAAATACGCTTTTTGAATGAACTTGTATGAGAAATACAAGCCATTTTGCTTTTGGCTAAGCTTTCCATCAACCTCTGAGAAACTACTGTCTACCCACACCCACGCCACAGGCATCTGGGCTCTGGCAGGACTTGGAGGAAAGGGGGAAGGCAAGACAGGGAAGCTGGGCAGCAGCCCGCCTGCTTCTGACCCACTTTTGTCACTCAGCTGGACATTTCCAAAAGACGAGGTACTACAGTCAAGTTCAACTGTACCTGATTTTTAAATTATGCACCCTAATGTTCAATGCTTAAAAGAGTAATTAGACATCAACTGTTGTTCGGCTTTTATGCATTTCTCTATTTGAAATGATAAACTTCCTCAGAGAGGGAGGCCTTGGTAACACTGTCATTACAGGTGCTTTACGAATGCTCCTGGTTGCTATTTACCCAAGCAGCTTATTTATGTTTCCCTTTGTTTATAGTTTAAAACTATATGCATCTAAGATGCATAATAAATCCTCTTAATATTTCCCTTGTAAAGTGGATTATGCTTCATGATCTCCTTGAGGCAGACAACTTGTCTTCATAGAAAAACTATTCATCTTAATAAAAGAAACATTTACCTTGATGCTTCTGAACTCCTCTATAAATTCCTCTGAACATGGGATCTGTCAAGTTGATACCGATATCTGTGGAAAGCAAAAATAAATGATTATTAAGAGCTTCTATTTTAAACTTCTATGTTAAATAAAAGCTCCTGTTACTAAATTTTTCACTCACTCAAACAAAATCTAAGTGCCTACCACTTGTCACTGTGCTAGACACCTGGGATAAAAAGATGAGTAAGACAGAATTCTACCTCTCAAGAAACTCACTACAGAACTGGGAAGGCAGACCCATTAACAGAACGTGAAGAAATAATTTTAAGTAGACACTGGCACTGTGGGACACAGATGAGGAATACCCAATCTAGTCTGGTAGAGGGCTCAGAAGTTTCCAGAAAGCAGGGATCTCTGAACTGAATCTTACAGGGTAAGTTAGAGTCACTCAGTAGAAGAGGGAAACTGCAGTGACTGCGGACAGCTATTGGCTGTTCTGGCTGCTGGAGAGAAATGGAGGGAAGGGAGCACCCCGAGAAGTCCAGACCCAGCTAGGCTACAGACATTCATCTTTAAACTACCAGCTGCAACTAGAAGCACAGACGGCTTGTAAGCAGAGGTGGTAAGATATCTCATTCTGGTATCTTTGGAGAAGGTGGGATTTGAAGGGGGGCAAATGGAGTCAGTATATCTCATCTGGAAACAGGCAAGAGCTCATATTTACAATGAGAAGAACCTGAACTGGGCTAATGTAAGTAGAGATTCAGAGAACAGAATAAATTATTTCATTATTCACCAAATACCATGAAGACCAAGTCTGTGTTGTTACTATGTAAGGAGTGAGGGGAAAGGACTAAGACCCAACACATGGTCCCTGCCCTCCAGGAATTCATGGTCGCTACAGGAACTACAAATACACTTTGTGATAATATGGTGGACTAAGCAACACAAGGCAAGAAGGTTTTTCTTTATTCCTATGTTCCTAAAACCCAGCATAATGGTTGCCACACAGTAGGAGCGCTAAATGTGTTAAGTCTATAAATAATTCCTACGTGCTTGGGAGCACAGAAAGGGGGCATTAACAGTTTTGGCAAAGATGACGAGACAAGCCTCCCAGCAGAGCCGGATCTTTAACAGAGCTCAAGCTTACAAGCTGACAGACGGAAAGGGCATGGACAGCATGGACCGGTGTAGGCACCTGCTGTATCTAGGCACAGGAAGAATCGTGCCTACAGAGCAGTGGTCCTTAGTGGAGAGCCATCCTGCAGCTCCTTCTCCTTCTAACCTACCCCCCTGCACAGCACTTGGCAACGTCTGTGTTCACTTCTAGATGGCGCAGCTGAAGGGAGTCACTGGTGTCCAGGCCAGAGGACCTGCTGAAAACCTACAATGAACAGGACAGCTTCCCAAGAGAGGGGATTCTCTGACCCCCAACATCAACTGCATTCTTGATAAACCCTGCTGCAGAGTGCAAGGGAACCAGGGGAGTAACAGGACGTGAAGTCAGACCATACTGGCCACGGGCAACAGTAACCCCTTCCTTATCGGGCACCCGGGTGGCTCAGCCAATTGGGCGTCTGCTGTTGGCTTGAGTCGAGATCCCGGGGTCCTGGGATGGAGCCCCACACTGGGCTCCCCGCTCAGTGGGGAGCTTGCTTCTCCCTCTCCCCCCACTTGTGCTCTTCTTGACTCTCTCGCAAATAAATACATAAAATATTTTTTTAAAAATAATAATAATACCTTCCTTATTTAAAATACACACCCTTTAGCTTTAGCACTAGGAGAATCTCCAAGTTCTTGATGGCAGGGGACACCTGCCTGCCTAAAGACCCTTATGTTACTTCTGCTTACTTTCAGCTTCCTCTTGGAATGTTCTGATTTCTGCCAAGCTGGCCCTCAGTAACTGTGCTGCTTCCACACAAAGACAGACGTGACATGATGGATGGGAGATGGTAGGGAGAGTAGTCCAGGTATTTGGAAAAAGCAAAAGAAAGGCACAATGCAAAAAAGCTGGCAGATATTTCAGCAACAGTATATAGGCCAGTAGAGGGTAGAAGATGAATTCACACCCCGTACCCTTTAACGGACCATTAACACACGAACACGGACTACAATCAATACAATATGGGGTCAGTGGAATGGCCCAGATCATAAGAATTCAGCATCTACTTTTTTTTTTTTTTTTTCAATTAAGGAAAGGAAACTAGATAGGGCAAGAGGCAGACTGAGAAAGGGAACCCAGGGAAAAGAGGAGAGGCTTTCCTGCCTAGAAAAATCCTTCACAGGGCTCCATCTACAATCACCCACCATGGATGATGGTTAGGGGCAGACTTGGGTCTGTATTTCTTCTACTCATTTCCCCTTTGTGCAACAAAGAGATTAGTATTTTTCCAAAACAATCTCTTTACTAGAATATAAACTGAAAAACAAAGGAAACAAAAGTAAGCAAATTTAGCAAGTAAAATTTATGATACTTATTTTAAAAGCGAATGGAGGGATGCCTGGGTGGCTCAGTCAGTTAAGTGTCCAACTTTTTTTTTTTAAAGCTTTTATTTATGTATTTGAGAGAGAGAGAGAGAGAGAGAGCTTGCAAGCAAGCATGCATAAGTGGGAAGAAGGACAGAGAGAGAAACAGACTCCTGCTGAGCAGGGAGCTTGACTTGGGGCTCAATCCCAGGACCCCGAGATCATGACCTGAGCTGAAGGCAGACTCTTAACTGACTGAGCCACCCAGGCACCCCAGGTGTCCAACTCTTGATTTTTGGCTCAGGTCCCGGTCTTAGGGGCCTGAGATCAGCTCTGCACCAGGCTCCACACTCATTACAGAGTCTGTTTTTCCCTGTCCCTCTCCCTCTCACCTGCCCAATCCTCACTCTCACTTAAACAAATAAAATAAAATCTTTAAAAAATAATAAAATAATTTTTAAAAGGCAAATTGAAGATGAGCTTGGGGGCTCAATTTCTGAAGCCTTCCCATGTCCTTGTTTCAACCCTCCCTGGACCAGATGTGGAATCACTCTTCAGCACTTTGTACTGAGGCTGATATGGTTGAAGCCAATGCAAGGTGATACCACTGCCTCTTAGAACCCACTTCTAGATGTGGGTCAGTCCTTCAGGCCCTAAGTCACAGTGGAGTTCAAAGTCTGTATTCAGCTTTGGACCCAGGTGAGCCTTAGGCTTTAGGATATCCTACACCAGCTCAGCCACCAGTTTCTTCCCTCTGCTCCAAGACTTATAGCCCTTCGCCCTTTTCTTTCGGACATATGGTTTGCTTGAAGTGTATTCCTTGGCCAGTTGTTAGAGCCGCTTTCTACCTTGAAGAGAATGTTTCACCTTAGTCAGGTTTGGTGAAGGGGGTCAGAACATGCCACCCCAATACGCCACTTTGGTATACCAGTTATTCTGAACTGAACGCACTGGAAAAAGAGGAGATGCAGGCAAGCCTCTCTGCCCTCCCCCCATGGTAACTAAAAGTAGGTCATAAAATTTCCCATGAGACACACCCTCCCTATATCAAGAATGGAAGAATATTGTTATCATTGCAATATTGTTATCACCAGACTCGGAGTCAACGTCAAAATGAATCTGTACAAGCAGACCCAAATAACTCTCCTCATCTTCCATTAGTTTCCCCATACATTTCCTTGTCATTGTCCCACAACTTAAGTCCTTTTATCAAGTTGCCACTTATGCTTTTGGGCCTAATGGCTTCTTTGGGGCTTCATTTTCCTTCTGAAGATTCCCATATCCACAAAAAATGTCTATGCTTTTCTTCTGTTGATGTCTGATGCCAGTTTAATTCTTCAACCAGCCACAGAACCTAACAGGGTAAGAGGAAGATTTCCCTCCTCTACAGAGGCAAATAAGTTCTTCTGGACACTGAGTCACTCCTGTTTCTCTAAGAAGTTCTCCTCTTCTATACTGGCTGGCCTCTGGGCCTCCCACTCCCCATCCACCTACTCACCAGCAAACACCTGCAGTGTGGTTAGGATCATTAACAGGTCACTATGGATGGGTCAAAGAAAAGTTCAAACCGATCACCAGAAGTGTAAATTTGTGAGCACGTCCCAAGAAATACAATGAAATGGAGGAAATGCAGTTATGGAAAAAGAATGGGCTCTGGAGTCAGAATTCCTGGCATTATGATGAATAAACTGAATGATGTTGGCCAAATCAGCAGCCCTTCTGGGACTCAGTTTCCCTACTAATAGGGCATAACAGTTCTCCTTCCAGGGATGAAATGTAGCTCAAACTGGAAAATCAATGTGAAAGCACTTTGCACAATAAAAGCCTTATAAAATGTACTTACTGTTATTACTGTGCACCCTATATGTTCTGAACGTGCCAGTACCACACAGAATTTCCATCAACATTAGCGACCATGGCATACCACCTTCAGTGGTTAACACTCTCAATTCACTATTCAATAGCCAAAGTGAGTCCATCTTTTTATACCCAACTCATGATGCAACTATGAAAATAAAGCCACTCAAAATCCTACTCATTTAACTTGTTCAAAATGTCCTAATATAGCTATAATAAGGAATACTATCTTTCCAATTAAAAAGTTCTTACCTGGGTGGCTCAGTCCGTTAAGCATCTGACTCTTGGTTTTGGCTCAGGTCATGATCTCAGGGTTGTGAGACTGAGCCCCACGTCGGGTTCTATGCTCAGCATGGAGTTGGCTTAACATTCTCTTTTCCTCTCTCTCCCCCTCTGCCCCTCTGCCAGCTCAAGAGCGCTCTCTCAGATAAAATCTTTAAAAAAAAAAAGTTCCTATCACAAGTACTTGTGTTGTCAACAAACTAAAAAAAAAAAAAAAAAAAAAGTAAACAGTATATAAGAATCAATTTCTAGCTTGAAATAGCTTGAAAACCTAAGAGATGGGAGGAGAGCGTAGGATACAAAAAAAAAAGACAAAGAAGAAAAGGACTTCTGATGGGGGAGAGTTGAGGGAGTCATACATTTAGTGGCCTGTCATCTTGTAAGAATCAGTGATGTTTCTTTTCCATAATTTTTCTTTAACTGGCTGGCTTTAAAAGCAGTAACTGCTTTACTGTTAAAAACCACTTCCAGTATTAATAAGTTTT